GCTGAAAAAACCTCAGAAGTTTAACTATAGCAGTATCACTATTGTTAGACTGAAATATCATTTACAGTGTCCATTTGCAGAAAAAGAGAAGAACAATTCTTCTAAAGAACTGACCCAACGGTCAATTACAGTGTCCATTTGAAGCTTTTGAACTGTACACTGTACAGCTGCTTTCAATTTAAATATAGTATCATCACACTATCACTATTGTTAGACTGAAATATCATTTCATAGCAAGTATTGTTAGAAGACATACAATTTTCAGCAAATGTTATTCATATTTTCAAACTAAAATATCATAATCTAAAAAATAACATAGCGTACAAGTACGGCATTTTATAGCATAATATACATTTTTATTACAAATGTACGATATGTCTGACTTGTACAATAATTTGTGATTTAAACATAAAAAAAAAAAAAAATTGACATCAAGAATGTCAAATAAAAATAATTAACAGCAGTTTTGTGTTTGATGTGTTCAAAGATTTTATTTATATTTAAAAATAAAATAAAATAAACCTCAACCTGTCCTATCACTATTCACAGTCAAACATGATGGATAAGTAGAAACACATAATTATGAGCTATACAGAAAATTGCTGCAAGTTCAATTTCAATTAGAAAGCGAAATGCAGAAAAGGACGAAAATAATGCTGGTATCAGGCCATTTATAACTAATGCCAGCTCAAATTGCTGTCCCAAACAATAAAATTATACTAACAAGAGTTGCACATATCTGCATAAGTTGTCATGTTATTTTGAGTACTTATCAAACTTGATATTTTATTGCAGCAATAATATATTAATCAAATATTTTTATAATCAATCATCAATGCAAAATTTTTGATACGACATTATGAGCATTTACTGCAGCAGTAAAACAAATAACCTACTGTTAGAAATTCATTTATATTCATACATATATAAATTATTAAATTATTGATAGCTTGCTAGAAAATAAAGAACTATATATATATACACTATTCTAATTTGAGTTGTGTTCTATTATTTAACTCGCCAGCTGGAAGTTTAATGTACATCCATAATAATTGTGCATATATTGCCAAATATATATGGCTTCACAAGCTATAATGGGTTTGATAACACCCACACAAGGGCTTATCTTATCTTATCAACCTTAATTATTCGATTTGAATTATTATATTATTCATTTCCATCATGATTAGTCATCCTTTAGTTTGTATCATGTATAAAATCAAATGCACAAATATGATAACTACTATTAGCCTTTTGATATGTTGATAGATGATTAAATTGTATATTTGAGAGTAATAGGTACAACACTTGAAAGCATGCAATTTCAGATCAAGTTCCCTCGTGTGTACCTAGTGTTTATATTATTTTATTATGTATATTTAGAGTTGTTGATACCTAATTTTGGTCTCACCTATTAAAATGCTACATGTGGATACATATTAAATAAATATAAATATAGCAGGTTCTCCGAGCTAATTATTTAATATCGACCGAGTTCTCAAGCGCCTAGATGATCCACGTTCGAGCCGATTAGAATTAATATCGTCAGTCTGACCCGAATTCAGACAGACACAATAATTGCCAATAAAGTAAGGGCATGTATATAGAGGATAGTGGGAGGTCATCTCACATTAAATGATAATGTCCCCCTTTTATCTATTTTTTAATAAGCCCACTTGTAAGAAGGGGCATGTTTATAGAGGATAGTGGGAGGAGAGAGAAAGGGGATCCATTATTCAGCATCTTCTTCAACAACAAAAGTCAAGCGAAAAGAAGAGAGATTCAAAAAAAAAAAAAAAAGACACTTTGCTTCAACACCGATTATTCACAGAAATAGGGGTGTAATTTTCATTGATACAATTTCGTTTATCAACAAGAGTTTTGAGCGAAACAAGTCAAGCTCGAGCTAGTTTAGTTAATAACTTGACACTACAAAAAAATTGTTATATTTCAATGGAAAATCTTATGGGGATATATTTCAATGAAAATTCCAACGAATATTCCAATGGTATAGCTTCCGTTGGAATGATTCCAATAGAAATTCCAACGAAAACATTGCGTTGGAATGACTTTTCCATTGGAATTTTAGATGAGATTTGATGATTCCAACGGTTTTTTACCGTAGGAATTTCCGTTGGAATATGCAATTTTCGTTGGAATTTTTATTTCCACCTCCGTTGGAAAATCTACCATTGGAATCGTCAAAATCCAATGGAAATTCCAATGGAAAATTCATTCCAACGGAATATTTTTGTTGGAATTCTATTGAAATATATTTGTATTGGAACTTTTCTTTGGAATTTCATCATTTTGTTGCAGTGTTGAGTTGAGCCGAATTCAATTTGTTAAAATTTAAAAATAAATACTATAATTACGGTTTGTTAAGGTTCCAGTTAGACTTATTAAAGCTTGAAATAGAATTTTTTTATGTCTATTGTAGTTTGACGCGTTAAACTTAATAAACGAGTCAAGTTCGAGGTGAATTATTTAACGACTAAGCTCGAGCTCGATTGTAAAGAATTTAAACTCGGTTCCACTCGATTCGTTTACACCTTTCATCATTTGGACTACAAAAAAAAGTGATGCTATCACTACAAAAAAATTGTTGTATTCCAACGGAAAATCCTACGGTAACATATTCCAATGAAAATTCCAACAGATATTCCAATGGTATAGCTTCCGTTGGAATCATTCCAATGAAAATTCCAATTGCAATATTCCATTGGAATGTGTTTTTCATTGGAATTTTAGATGGAATTTGATGATTCCAACGGCTATATTTCCAACGGCTTTTTACCGTAGGAATTTCCGTTGGAATATGCAATTTCCGTTGGAACTTTTATTTCCACCTCCATTGGAAAATCTACCGTTGGAATCGTCAAAATCCAACGGAAATTCCAATGAAAAACTCATTCCAACGGAATATTTTTGTTGGAATTTCCGTTGGAATTATTCCAACAGAAATAATAGCATTAAAATATCCGTTGGAATTCCCGTTGGAATTTTATTGAAATATATTTCCGTTGAAATTTCACCATTTTCTTGTAGTGTATGAAGCAAATATTTTTCTTTTTTTATTTTATAGTTTTCTATTTTTAGTGTCCATTTTTACTTTTTAGTGCTTTTTCAATTTTTCTTTTCCAGTTTTATATTTTTTAGTATTCTTGTGAAGGATTTATTATTTAAAATACAATTTCTTTCACTTAATGAAAGGTGTCAGACACGATCCACGTGGCCCACTGTGATTGGCCACACCGCAGTGGTACGCCGTACGTGGTTTTACAGAATTGGCTGACTCATCCACATGTCATCCCTACCTTACTTTTCTTTTTTTTTTTTTCGAAACGATAGGATAATTAAATTATCACAAAAATCAAATACAAGGTTTGAGGGCTAACTAGCCCATAAGAATACAGATGAAGAATGACAACTTTCCTAATAATAAGAGTTTGTATCCTTCCCCGGCAGAGGCACAACAATGATCACGGGGATGAACTCCAAACTCCAGCCCTAATCAATATGTACTGTTGGGCACCAAAATTAGCCAACCACTGCACCTAACAGGACCTAGTTGGTTAACAAAAAACTAAGCAACGGAAAATAACAATCAACCGACTAGCTAACCAGACCAAAACATAGACCTTCTACACAAACTTAGCACAAATATTAGCATATTCCAGCCACTCCTTACAAGCTATATTCACTGTGGCAGCTTCAGGCCTTAGTTCATTATGAAAAACCCATAAGTTGCGGGTTTTCCAGATCCACCAAAGAATGTAGGTGGAGAGCTGTAGTCGAGCTTCTGCAATAGGATTGAAAGGAATGGAACAGAGATGCATCCACCATGCCTTAAAAGAACCAGAGAAGTCTGTTGTGCAATCCCAGGAAACAGGGGAAAATTTCCAAATGAGGATGGTTCTTCTGCACTGGAAAAAAAGGTGCTCCTGGGTCTCAATCCCCTCACCACAGAGTTTGCAGGTGTTGTCGACTGGGATTTCCCTTGTTGAGAGATTATTCATGACAGGTAGGATATTGTTCATGCATCTCCATATGAAATGCTTTAGCTTGTCTTTTTGCAGCTGCCAGGTTCTCCTCCTTGTGGCCTTTAGTTCTTTTTGGTTTGAGCTTGATTCTGGGATGTCCATGAGTCTCCATTTTTTTCCACAAGCTTGGTGTATGATGATGATACAGAGAACTTCCCATTCCTGGCCCACTCCCATCTTAGTCTATCTTTTCTGTGTGGGTCAAGGCCTGTTATGATTAATATAGCAGCTGTTTCTCTCTCTTGGAAGTGTTCCTCAATGAGTTGCTTATTCCACCTTTGACTTGAGACATCCATAAGGTCTTTTACCCAAAGGGTTTCCTGGCTCAGAGTGTTGTTTGTTGACTATTTATATCCTGGGAGGCCAGGGACCCAAGGGTAGTCCCTTATTCTTGTTGATTTGCCATAAAAAATTTCAACCTTCATCCCACCTTGAGTAGAGTCTCTCACCTTCATCCAACTGCTCCATAGCCATGAGCAATTGGATTTGTGCTTAGTTGAGAAGAAGCCTGATTTATGGAAATA